CCCGAGCGGCCGTCTGGCCGACAGGCGCTCCGACGCTAAGCTGGCACGTGCTGGCGCAGCAGGGACAGACCGCGGCGTGACAAATTGCTGAAAGAGCTCAGCTAAACTCCGGGCTGACAACCACCTGAGCCTGAGGACCTCTCCGGGCCTGCCGTCAAGGCTCAATTCATCGCGCGCCCTTGCGGTCGGCAGGCTGCTTGTGGGCCCGGCTTAAACAAGGCCGATCCTTGCTAAAGGCTTTTCACGCTACGCCTAATAACATCCTGCTGTTTAATGAAAGACCTCGCGCCTCTAACACCTCAGCGTCTGCAGCGCGGGGAGCGACTGCGAACAGAGCCGGTTTGCGCTGCTTTTGCTAAATATCACGTGGGAAAACGGGAACGATGAGGCGTTGCCCAGGTTAACTTACACCACGATGGCACGAACCGTCCAAGCTCTTATTTGAGAGACGGGCGAGATCCCTAACTATACAAGGTGGGGGAAAAAAACCCCACTCAGCTAAACAGCTGGGCCACTACAGGAGGAACACGTGAAAAACAACATATCGAGCTACAAGTTTAAGCCAACATCGAGACACCAGTAAAGATTTACCGGAAGCTTTAGAGGCGTAAAAGGAAGATGCAAATTCAGTGCGTTTCTTGCACGCGGAAAAGCTAAAAGCACTACGTGTAGACACTGCAGAGACAGCAAGGAAGACCACTGCATAAAGCAGCGGCACTTGAGCATCGTCTCTCACAGCTCAGCGTACGGCGCTTCATGTCTCTCTCAGGCTCCCTTAAGCACAGCTGGCAAGAGCGTTAAATATAGCGATTTTCGTGATATGGACAGAAATCCAGTAAGAAATTAGGTGAGATGGTTATAGTAATTTTCACTTATGGCCTAATCTAAGAAGCATTCAATCACTACAGGAACCGTAACTAAACTCATTGCTAGCTCTGCGTTGATCTGGATAAATACTAGTGAAACCAGCTTGAATTAATACATGAAAAAGCAACTGAAGTTACGCAAAAGTTGAAGTATTTTAATGGAGAGATCAGGAAGATATTAGGCTGTAAAGAACCCTTTCAAAACATGCTCATCCTGTAAACACAGGTCAACAAAACAGTACGACATCATGAACATCATCTGAGCTCTCACAGAAAACCTTTGCGCTGCAGCTTATTTAAGCGGCACTTCTTGAGTGCAAAGAAAAGCGCAGTTTTGTTATTTATTTGTGTTTATGCCAAAATTGTCTGCAGGCTTCACTACATTAGTCAACAGTCGGATACCCTTGAGTTCCAAATCACATATTGTGAGGGTTTGAGAGACCAAATATCCAAAGGGCAATTTGGGGGGAGAGAAGACTTGAAGATCAACGGTTTCGAGACCGTTCGTACAGTAGCAGCCTGAAACAGCAATTTTCAATTGCAATCTTGAGAAGCTTCAGATTTATCACCCTGTAAGAAAACATTCATCCAGATAACCACCAGTGCAACACTTTATCTGCCAGTCCTGCAGCCATTGTAACCTGGCTGTGCCTTCATGCTTGAGAACCAGTGATTTGATTTTACTTATTTAAATGTACTAGAACGTTAAGTTAAATCTGTATGCCATATAAACTACTACTTTTTAAAAAACACGTGGAATATACTAGCAAGCCATCATTCTCAACCCATTGCTACGCTTTGGGTTAAGCGGAGCCAGGAGAAAGCTCGAAGTGCCTGGCTGGCTTTTCTCTTGAAGCCTCAAGGCTGGACTGCTAAAGTGAAGCATGCAAATCATTCCCCCCAAGAAGGCCTGGCTGCAACAGAGGATGGGTTATGATCTTGAACCCTGCGCCAGGGAAGAAGCTGGACAGCTGGCTTCCCTGATTAACTAAGCCCCCGTTTATCTGAAGGTTTTGGGTGTCCCCTGAGATCTTCAGATAAATGGAGTTACGCTAGATGTTGAAAGGAGCTGATCAAAAGCAGCCTCTTTTAATATGTATGGCAATTTGACCCCCCTCTTAAATGACTGGATTATTTTACATTTTGTTTCTACCCAGACAAAACTCTAGAACAAAATGTTTTCAGAAGGCACAAACATTTTTATTTACTTCATATTCTAAGTGAAGTAGAGAGCCGTGACAAGGCATGAATTATTGACCATGAAAGCATGTGAAAGTGTGACAATAGGAATTTAGCTCAAATTAGAATATGATAATCAAATCCCAGTATTTGAACACTATGACTTTTTACAACTATTTTATCACTTTATCAATTATTCTAATAGTTCAACCTTACAACGTAAACTGCAGGGGAAAAACATTAAAATGCTAACATTAACTATTGGGATCAAACGACTCTGTCTTACTGCAATCTGTAGGATGATCTGTGAAGTACTGCTATAAAACACATTAAAGACATTCTTCTAGACTGAGAAACCAAAATAAGACAAAAGGTAGAATTAAAAAATATATATACCAGAGACCCGTGTATCAGCAGATATCGAGCTGTGACCATGGCACTTTGGAACCAGATCCTCAGCTAGTGTAAATCATCATAGCTCTTGTCAGCAGAGTTTCATTTTTACTGAGACTACCTTTTGTTTTGTAGTGGGGACTACACTGGGTAGAGCTGACCAGAAGGAAAGAAAGCAGTCATTTCGTTTTCTGCCTGGAAGTGCCTCTGCTATTTTTCTAGGTTCATATCCTGAGAGAAAGGGGAATGTTGTTAAGAGACTGCTATGATTACCACAGTAAAACCGAGAAAAGTCATTTTTGAAAATATGGAATAGTCACACAGCTGTATGCTTAGAAACTTTGAGTTATTATTCAGCAGAACTAGACTGCTAATTATTAAAGAATAGCTCAAAAGGAGATAGGGCATCAGAAGGAAAGCTCAAATAAAATGAGATATTAAAAATAAAGCCAAAAAAAAAAAAAGGAGGACATATCCAGAAGCAACTTGAAAGCAGCAGATATTCCTAGGCATTTTACAACTGGTAAATGAAAACTGATTTACCATTGACGGACATCTGACTATGGAAATGAAGAGAACGGAACTGCTGGATTCAGGCTTTAGAGGATTCTGATACGCTTTTCAAACAAAAGGATTCCAAACAAAAGTCTCATTAACTGCCATGCGTATCCAAATTTTAAGAGATTTTCATACACATCTTACTAAACGCGCGAAAGGTTCATGACTTACAAGCACCAGTTCCACATTTAACCTCTACAAAGAGGGCCAGTTTCGAACATACAATTTGAAATGTAAATACTTCGAATAGCACTCAAAAGTCTTCCTTCTCCGGGTTCTGTAGTTGAACTGAGCCAACCTAGGCTCAAGATCTGTCCACGTTTTC